CCCCCCATCCCCCCCTGGTTGGAATAGGGTTAAGGTGGCTGTCTACTATAGAAAAAAAATCCATGAAAAAGTTTAATTTTCGAATTACGATGTCTTAAATGCAAATTTAATGCTGAGGGTGCTTTGTGGTGGGTGCGTACACGTGAAAAAGTTCAATACGCTACAGAGTAGTAACGGTCGAAAACAGACTCGCGCGAAAAAATGATGTGTAGTCAGGCATTTTGTTTGGATTACTTTTCGCTGTTTTTTTTTATTACGGTGGTCGACTTTATATATACATTTTATTTTTTCAATAAGAAAAATAATATAAGATTTTATTTTCATCTTTCAGTTTTATCGAAGTTGGGCTCCCTGTGTACTAAAACAATGGGAGCTCCGCTTTTAGGCAGTGCCTAAATTTAATATGTGTAATAACATATGAAAGTCTTGGTAAGAAAAATGTCTTATGTTGCCCTATGTAGTTGTCTGGCAGTTCAGCGACTCACAAGATTGAAAAGACCATCCAGCAATGGAGAGTTGGTGCTCGAGTTAACCAAAGTGCTTTAAGGCAGGCAGTTCGTGATTTCTGTGGCCAGTTCCCAATCTATCGCCTAGAGCCATTTACTGCTGATTCAATCTCTGTGATGGCTGAAGATCACCAATATACGCGCACTGGTAAGTGTACTCTCATGTACTCGTATTTAAATTTTTCATATTTTATTCTCCAGTTTTATATTAAACTATCCAATTAAAAGAAATAAAACACTTTGAATTTAAACAAATTGGAATGTTTAAGAATTATGTACATGGCATGTCGAAATATGCGCAATGTGCGACCTGTTCTCGGTGTTTGTCCTATTCTGCAATATTTCTTAACCACACTAAGTTGAGACCATCTGATTTGGTTATTGCGTTACTCAGAGTTCGGTTTTAAGCGCATTGTTGTTTTCTATATATGTAGCACCAGTTGAAGAAATCATTCGCCAACATGCCATTCAATCTATGATCAATGCTGATGACACCCAAATGTACCTTATTGTGCTTAGAACAGATGAGACATCACGTCTGTGCAATAGATATCTTACAGTGGACGAACAACAACAAGTTACTGATTTATGCCTTTATAACCACAAAACTTAATTACTGCAATAGTGTGTTATATGGTCTACAGAAACAAAATGTCGAAACTACAGGGTATTCAAAACTCTGCTGCTGGCCTCGTTACTGAATCTAGGAAATCACACCAATTCTGGGCAATCTCCACTTGCTCCCTGTACGCAAGCGCATAACTTAACAATATTCTGACCACTTACCAAGTTTTAAATGGGATGGCACCTGGATAACTAACTGATTTGCTTACTCTACATGAACCAAGCAGAGTTCTATGGTCAAATACAAATGTCAACCTACGCCTAACAAGACCAAAGTTTAGAACTAAGAGCTATGGTCGTCGTTCGTTTTTCCATGTGTCATGTTATGTCCTTTTGACGCTTCCCCCTAGCTTAGTTATTTAATTTTTTATTCTTCATGTTAGCTAGTTATTTTATTAGTCGTTCTATTACACGGGTTCCACTGGTCCCAAGAAGAAATGAATAATCAGTTATTTAGCATTTTTCTTGGAGCTTCCCTCAAATACAGTCAATTCAAAAAACGTTGTCGTCGACTGGCTCAAGCCTACGCGACTGGACCGAAAGGAATATGGATAAAAATCACTGAAGCGGTTAAATATTCGTTCTGAGTTAATTGTCCCCGCTAGAAATAAGATAATAATGGCGAGAAACCATCCATCAAATGCATGTCTTTGGGTTTAGGGAAAGAAAAACAAAGTAGTTATGATTCAGTTCACAATTCCGAAAGTATGAAACGTCTCCTTCAACACTTCCCGCTCGCCTACGAAGGTTTGTGCTGTAAACCAGGCATAACTAGTCAGATAAAATTATGGAGTCAGCTCGGCTTCAATGATTGCTACCCAGAGTTCCTTTCGGTCCAGTCGCGTAGACTTGAGTTGGTTGACGACAACATTTTTGAATTGACTGTATACTATTGGTAATTGAAATGCTTCTTGTTGAAGATAGTTTTGGTCATGGATTATCATTTTTGTATTTTATCAACTTTTTTCAACAGATAGAAAAAGGCGTGACATATCGAATTGGCCACTATGCAATAGACCATTCCCCACTAACTGTCATCCTAATACATGGTTGTTCACTTGCAAGATTCGAAGCAAAAGCTGTGTATATTACGTAACATGCGAAATCAATGTTCACAAAAACGTTCTTCAATGCAGAGACCTTAATAAGCATCTTTGTAACACCAGTATCTTATGCTGCTCTCCTAAGTGTCCATAGTGAAGTATTTTTTGTACTGTTCTTGTAAAAGACTAATGTGGCTGCAGCAAAAACAAAACCTGGAACAGATGAAAATGTGTAATTTGATCATCTTTTTGAACAAGGCAATATTATATGAATAAAAATTACCAACACTCAGGGTCTTAAAATAACTGAGGAAAAGGTGCTGTCTTTGTGATAATATCTGCAAATGGTTAGACCCTCAAGTCTTCTCGGATAAGGATTTAAAACTGTAGGCCCTGCCTCCCAACCCTTCCTAATCTGCAGTAATATATATATTTAGGCACTGCCTAAAAGCGGAGCTCCTGATACGAAATTAGGGAGCCAGGGAGCCCAATTTGAATGAATCTGAAAGGCAAAAATAAAATCGGGAAAAAAATCTTCAATTATTTTTATCCGAGATGAAGATAACGTATCCCATAATAAAAACCATGCATTGAAATCGAATCAAAATGCACTACATTGTTTTTTATGCGCGATTATACCATCCCACTTAGGAATTTTGAACACAACTCACCACCAGCCACCCCACGGGCTATTTTTGTTCTTTGAAGATTCTTCGACAAAGTTTTCCATGGCCGACATTTTTAAGCTTTGAATTTCTGTTTAATTTTACTTTAAAAAAACGAAAGATGACTACAGACAATCCAAAGAAATATCAGGTTTAGTGAAATTTACCTTGGATGTCTTTCATTGAAATCGAAATTTTGGAGATTCCCGATTCTTTTAGGACAAATCAGGACTATAAAACAGACTTGAAAACTGGTTAAGGTGGGGAAAAACTAAAGCTTACTTGCGTCTTTCACATAACGATGTTTGGAAAACCATTAGAATTTTGATGTTTTTATATTAAATTTATTTTGACCGCAATGAAAATAAAAAAAAACCAAATGCTGTGGTAGCATCAGAGAGAAAATTGCCTGGAGATCATCAACTAACTAAACTTGAGAAATGAAGGCCCTGAACATTTAAAACCAAATGTGTCATCAGTTAAAAGGAAAAAGTTTTCTTAATTACTTCAATGAAATAATTTTATTCCTTTCATATGAGAATTAACTACTTTTCGAGAAGCTTGAAAACTAAGCTTACTAAATTTTGAGATTCGATTTTATCAGTTTTCATGTCTGTTTTCATGTGTGAGAAAGATACGAAAATCACGAACGACAAAAGTTTTCGAAAAGCAAAGTTTACATTCAGTATTAAACTTGACACGAACAACTGAGACAAAATAGAAAATAATGCAAAACACAAAATGACTAATTTCTTTGTCAGTAAATTGGCATCTGTAAATGTTTTTGAACATTTTTTAGCTTGGTTATAAAGTGAAAGACAAGGTCTTTATACAATATCATCTCTCAACAACACAAATTTAAGCTCATTTGTATAATCATGGCTATCTCGAACAACTTAATAAACAGTTGAATGTTTGGTGTAATTTTACATTTCATTCAATATATAAATGAATTATCTGTAGAAAGATATAAAATCATTGAATGAAAGTCTTCAGCTTTGTTTTGCCGATGGGACCTGCGATAGGAAGCAAACGAAGCTGAATTTTTCTTGAACGAAAAACATATGATAGTTGGCTAAAAACAACCGAATTGTTAATGATTTACAAAGCTAAACAAAGGACGAATATTTTTTGTAATATGCTCTTCATGTTATATTTCCTCCAGCATTAAAATAAATTAAGCTTATCTATAGAAATATTAAAAGTTTTGAGGGAAAGTCTTTGATTTGTCGATTCGTCGAGAAAAAATGCTTGTCAAAAATTAATAATATACGATTGTTTGCTAAACAATACACACCTGAATCCTTGGAGAACACTTGAAAACACCCAGACAAAATAGTGAATCATGGAAACGCAGTTTTAACTACAGAGGGGCTGTTCTTTGGAATAGCCTGCCTGACAATATAAAAAGTGTGTCAACATTAAGTAACTTCCGTAACTCACTGGATGATTTTTTTCAATAATTAGAATTCGTAATATACTCTGCCAGCCGAGGTACTCTCCCCCTTTATCAATTTTACTAAGGTGAGGCCGTTTTGTGCCCCTGCTGACAGAATATTGAATATTTTTGACATTTCCAATTATTTATACCTTATAAGTTATATATTTAGCAATTATTTGCCGAAGGCAAAGTAAATATCGGGGAATATTCTGAGACGCGAGTCTTCGAGCGGCGAGGTTAATATTCTCCATATTCAATGAGCCTGCGGCGAATAATTGTTTTAGCATATACCAACTTGTGTACAGAGTAAATTTTTTTTATATACAATAATTCAATAAAAACAAACAAACAGAAACTTTTAGTTTG